GGATATGCAGCTGTCCTTGGAGGAACATCTGACGGCTGTAACAGGGGGACCTTTTGTCAGGTTCGCCTGATTCGCCAGTTGCGGCCCTTTCTTGATCGGGATTCCCTTGTGCACAGTCATCACGCCCTCGTCACCTCTCGCCTTGACTATTGCAACGCTCTCTACATGGGGCTCCCCTTGAGGAGCACCGGAGGCTCCAGCTGGTCCAGAACGCAGCAGCGCGGGTAGTGACGGGGAGCAGCATGGCGCTCCCATGTAACACCGCTCCTGCGCGAGCTGCACTGGCTCCCAGTTGTCTTCCGGGTGCGCTTCAAGGTGTTGGTTATCACCTTTAAAGCGCTCCATGGCATAGGGCCTAGCTATCTTCAAGACCGCCTTCTGCTACCAACGACCTCCCATCGACCCGTGCGCTCCCACAGAGAGGGCCTCCTCGGGGTGCATCAGCCAGACAATGTAGGCTGGTGACCCCCAGGGGGAGAGCCTTCTCTGTGGGGGCTCCCACCCTCTGGAATCAGCCCCCCAGAGATAAGGAGAATCCAAGACCTCAGTGCCTTCCGTCGCGCCCTTAAAACCCATTTATTTAAACAAGCCGGGCTGGCTTAAGATGAAATTTTTAACTGTTTTTTAAATGTTTTAAACGTTTTTAATTGGTAAATGAGTTTTAATTGGGCCAAATTTATATATCTTTTAATTGTTTTTAATATTTGTTCTGCATGTTTTTTAATCTGGCTGTACACCGCCCTGAGTCCTCAGGAGAAGGGCGGTATAGAAATCCAATATAAAAAAAATAAAATAAATAAATATGAGGGCTCCTGGATTGGAGCTGAAAGGCGAAAGGGAAGCAGAATGCTCCCTCCCACATGTTGGGGTAGACCAGGTGCCTAGACAGAAAAAACACTTTATACATATATAACAGTGTGTGTGTGTGTGTGTGTGTGTGTGTGTGTGTGTGTGTATGTATATGTATATATATATATATTATATATATATATATATATATTATATATATATATATTATATATGCATTACTTTTTGTGCATGTTTATATTTCACCAATTTATGTACTACTAAACTCTCCTGTCAGTTTGAAGCTTTCAACTAGCTAAAAATAGCGCATCATAAGGCATGAAGTTTTAAACCAACTTGTCTTAAATGGCCTTATGTGTTATATGTCCAAAATCTGGGACCCATTACGCCCCATACTGAAATTTCAAGGATTTTCAGACCAATTGTATTAGCTGGCTGGGCAGCTGCAGTTAAGGAACCATGATTTCTAACACTTCCTGCCAGCTTCCCACAATTGATGTCAATGGAGAAGCCTACCAGGAAGTCAGAAATTGCTCCGAGTCCCACTGTATTTTTGCCCGCCTGTGATCATGCTGCTTCCCTGTTTAGGTAAGGAAATATCTCTGAAATTGATATGTGCTATTTCTGTCTTGCAGCTTTCATTATTCTGCTACAGAATAATAACGGGAAAAATTAAAAGGTTTTTGCAGTGGCCTATCATCAAGATGAGTTAATAAGGGTGATGGCCTAACTTCTCAACCTTGGATATGAGATGGTTACATCCGAGAACTTTGTTGAGAGGTAACTTATAGCCATCAATCCCTAATTTTGTAGTTAGCTGACCTAACTAAGCATACATATATTGTACTGGATCCAGAAATCATCTCTACTCATATGTGAGGCAGGACTGGAGATGTAATCTCAGTTCTTCTCTGGATCTTGTCTCACTCTCACCTTCAGAGATGTCAGCAGGGTATGGTAATGATGGCAGCTTTTTAATGAATAGAATAGAATAGAATAGAATAGAATAGAATAGAATAGAATAGAATAGAATAGAATAGAATAGAATAGAATAGAATAGAATAGAACAGAACAGAACAGAACAGAACAACAGAGTTGGAAGGGACCTTGGAGGTCTTCTAGTCCAACCCCCTGCTTAGGCAGGAAACCCCACACCATTTCAGACAAATGGTTATCCCACATCTTCTTTAAAACTTCCAGTGTTGGAGCAGTCACAACTTCTGGAGGCAAGTTATTCCACTGATTAATTGTTCTGTCAGGAAATTTCTCCTTGGTTCTAAGTTGCTTCTCTCCTTGATTAGTTTCCACCCATTGCTTTTTGTCCTGCCTTCAGGTGCTTTGGAGAATAGCTTGACTCCCTCTTCTTTGTGGCAACCCCTGAGATACTGTTATCCTGTCACCCCTAGTCCTTCTTTTCATCAAATTAGACATACCCAATTCCAGCAACTGTTCTTTATATGTTTTGGCCTCCAATCCAGTAATGAAATTCAATTTTTTTTACTACCAGTTCTGTGGGCGTGGCTTGGTGGGCATTGCAGGGGAAGGATACTGCAAAATCCCCATTCCCTCCCCACTTCTGGGGGAAAGATATTGCAAAATCTCCATTCCCACCCCACTCTGGGGCCAACCAGAGATGGTATTTGCTGATTCTCTGAACTGCTCAAAATTTCCGCTATCAGTTTATTTATTTATTTATTTATTTATTTATTGGTTCAATTTATATGCCGCCCTTCTCCGGAGACTCAGGGCGGCTTACAATGCGTTAAGCAATAGCCTTTATACTTTTGTATATACCTGCTTAGTAGGGCTTTTGCCCCCCCCCCAAAGCGGTGTTCTTTTTTATACAAAGTCAGCTTATTGCCCCCACAATCCGGGTCCTCATTTTACCTACCTCGAAAGGATGGAAGGCTGAGTCAACCTTGAGCCTGGTGAGATTCGAACTTGCAGTAATTGCAGGCAGCTGGTGTTATTTAACAGCACTTAGTCTCCCGCGTCACCAAGGCTCTTAGTTCTTAGTTTTTGAGTAGTTCTCCGAACTACCCAAAACATCCGCTACCGGTTCTCCAGAACCTGTCAGAACCTGCTGGATTTCAGTCCCCTAATCATCTTTGTTGCTCTTCTCTGCACTCTTTCTAGAGTCGCAACATCTTTTTCACATCGTGGCGACCAAAACTGGATGCAGTATTCCAAGTGTGGCCTTACCAAGGCATTATAAAGTGGTATTAAGACCTCACGTGATCTCGATTCTATCCCTCTGTTTATGCAGCCTAGGAATGTGTTGGCTCACTAGGACTCCGAGATGCCTCTCACAGTTACTACTATCGAGCAAGGTACTACTATTGAGCAAAGTAATGAGTTGCATGTGTACATAAAAAAACAAGCAGCGATTTGGTCACAGATTGTAGCTACCTTCTTGATTATCTGACCACATCCAATGGACACTCCGTCCTTTCCCATGAGCCTGGCTGTTTGTGAATGAGTCATTAATACAAATACACCATAAAAATCCAACGTGTAGAGCAGCCCAGAGCACATATTCTGGAAATAGAGAGAAATTCCCTAGCGATAGGTTCCAGCACTGGCCGAAAAGTTTGGAAGAATAAACCTTTGGTCCTGGTGACCAACTCAGACAGGATTCTGCAACGAGTCATAAAGCTCGAATGCATGCAACTATGGGCTCAGATCATGCACGAAAATCCGTTTGCAGACTCTTTTGAGCAAGGGAAGGAGTGTCACACATTGCAGTAACCCAGGGGTGGGTCTTAAATTTTTTTACTACCGGTTCTGTGGGCGTGGCTTATTTTGTGGGCGTGGCTTGATGGTCATGTGACAATTATTTAGGATTTAGCAGAGGTACTGGTCTACCAGGCTTTTAACTACTTGCAGAGCAGTACCGATCTACCCATTTATTTTTGCAGGCACTGATCTACTCGTGTATTTTTGCAGCTACCGATCTACTCATTTGTTTGCTTTTAACACTGATCAGCTGTAGGACGGCCCTTTGAAGCCCCGCAGCAAGAGTTTAAACAGTTTTTTTCCCTCTAGCCATCAGTTGGGACTTAGGAGGCAGCAATAGATTGGGGGTGGGGCCAAATAAAAGGTAAGAATAACGCGGGGGAGGGGGTGGGGGGGCAGAACCAGTTCGGTCACTGGTACCGGCTCGGCAGAACCGGGTGGAACCGGGAGGAACCCACCACTGCAGTAACCCCAAACAGGAGCTGTGACAGCCCCAAGGCCACATGTGGAACCTGTAATGCTCAACAAGGATTTCACTCATATGCAGAATCAACCCTCTAAAATGAATAACGAATGAAAGAATAAAAATGGAAGTTGGAAATAAAAGGAAATTAGAGAGGAGTAGAAAATATGTTAAGATAGAGATGACTATTAGGATTATTATGCTTAATATTATTATTATATTCTTATTAGAAAATATGTTAAGAGAGAAAAATGAATAGATTTACTATGTTCAATAATACAATTGTAAGATCAGAGAATTAATATCAATGTAATGAATATTGTTGTAAATTTTGATGGTTATTGCACCATCAAAATTGCACCATATTGAGATATTTGTACCTAGACAACACACTGTTTAAGGGAAGATGGAATCTTTATATTAAAAAAATTATATATATATATATAAATCACTGATTTCATTTGAGCTAATCTAAGTGTGAATAAGTTTAGATTTGACTTGTAGCATTAGTTCTAAAATTAACATCCCTCAAAGTCCCTACCAAATAATCCACCTCAATAAAAAAAAATTACCAATAAGTGGAGGAGGAAGAAGAGAAAGAGAAAGAGAAAAGGAGAAGGAGGAAAAGGAGGAGGAAGAGGAAGAGAAAGAGAAAGAAGAAAAAGTGAAAAGAAGGAGGAGGAAGAGGAAGAGAAAGAAGTGAACTAGAAAGAGAAAAGGAGAAGGAGAAAGAGGAGGAGGAGGAAGAGAAAGAGAAAAGGAGGAAGAGGAGGAGGAAGAAAAAGAGAAGAGGACGAAGAGGAGGAGGAAGAGAAAGAGAAAAGGAGGAGGAGAAGGACAAGGAAGAGGGAGGGAGGGAGGAAGGAAGGAAAGGCCGAGAAGAAAAAAAAATACTGTGTTGTGATTTTTCATAATAAAAAAAAAACTACAGTGGAAAGAAAGTCAGAAGACAAAATTGCCAAATGAGAAGCATTACTTTACAGAGAGACCTTACCTACTCGAAGCTCTTGACCGAAGACCGTCTTCTCTCCCAGTGCTGAGCAGTTCCACCTGCCATATCGGAACTGGTACTGACATTCATTGATTCCCATCTGGGCCCCTTCTCCAATGACTATGATGGCATCAGGGCGGCTCTGGCAAATCGCTCGCTGCCGTGGGGCCAAGCCCGGAATCTTGTTGCAGATGATGTTTGCTCCCAAAGCCACCACCGATGACAACGCTCTGAGGAAAAGCAGAAAAGCAGCGTGAGAACTAAGAGAAGCCATTCATTCTACTTCCTTGCTAGAGCAGCTGGCTGGAGTAGGCTACAGTAGGAGGGAAAGGGCTGTAAAATGGCTCCTATAATTATGCTCACTTATCTCAACCTCTTTGTTCTGGCAGTTGAGCTGGAAACCTTGTGTGACTTTCGGTAATGCCTGGTTCTCTTGGACCAGACTTAGCACATGTGCCATCTGCCTCACAAAACGTTGGCACTTTCAGGCTCGGTTGGCCATAAAACGAGGAAGTGAGGAGATACGAGAAGCAGATATTAAACTTCGATTTGGATTTTTGGAAACCGTCGTCGCTGAAATTCGCGTCGCGCATAGAGGGGTTTTGGCTCAGCCTGGCTGCAGAATGCAGGACAACTTGCAATTCGTCCCTTCTAATTTTAAACCGCAGCAGAGAAGGAAAAAAAAAAAAAGAACAGGGAATGGTTTTATTTGACCAACATTCATGCTCATTATTATAAACACGAAGTGGTGAATGATTAATAGGACCTTGTAAGCATAAAATTTCAGAGTCGGATTCTTCAGACTCTGGAAAATGGTTTGCAGCAGTCCAGAAAAGCATCTCAAATGTTTGGTCAAAAGAAGCGTTTTCGGTAATTGCAACAGACACATTTATAATTTTCATTAAACCCTTTGCATACTGTGGTACATTGTCTCAGGCATGAACGGATCCAAAACGGCATTCAGATTCTTGGCTCCCCAGTGGGATCTCTCCTCAGTTCATTTACCTTCAATTTATAAAGTTGTGGGTTTGAATCCCGCAATGCTCCTGGCAAAAGGGGGAAGCTAATTCTTGGAAAGAAGATGCTGGGTTAGCAGGACTCTTCTGCTGATTAAGCAGGGCTATAGTTTGGTTCCTCTGTGATGAAGCAGACTTTTTTTGGTGTCATCCTAGCAAGGGTTTGAATCAGCAAAAACACAATGCTTGGCAAAGTTGAGGGAAGGAGAAGAAAGGAGACACAACTGATGCGGCGGATAGACTGGATCAAGAAGATTGTGGGGATGGTCCCAAAGGTGCTTTTTCGAGAGGCAAATGGACTTTCTGGTTTTTCTTTGAAGACGTTTCGCTTCTCATCCAAGAAGCTTCTTCAGCTCTGACTGGATGGTGGGGAATGGAAGGATTTATACTCCTTGCGGACAGTTGGTCATTTGCATCCTTTTAGAGAGTCGTTGAGGCCACCTGGAGGTTTATCTGTGTCCTCAGGGTCACCTGAGTGATGCAAGTGGGTGTGGAGCCTTCTTGGAACTGCCGAAAGGACTGTGTTGTAGACAGGAGATAGATGATGTCGTATCCCTTCACCCCCTCTGTGGAGAGAGGGCTGTTCAATTTTGACATAGATGGCCTCTTTGACCCCTCTTTCAAACCAGCGGTCCTCTCGGTCCAAAATATGGACTTTGCTGTCTTCAAAACAACTTGCTAAAAGAAAGCAAATGACCAGCTGTCTGCAAGGAGTATAAATCCTTCCATTCCCCATCATCCAGTCAGAGCTGAAGAAGCTTCCCTGGATGAGAAGCGAAACGTCTTCAAAGGAAGAAACACGAAAGTCCAGTTGCCTCTTGGGAGGAAAAAAAAGTACCTTTGGGACAACCATGACTGAAAATCTCCACATAGACATTGTGGGGATGTCCACAGAAGAATTACAGACTGCCATAAGGGACAGGGAAGATACCATCCCAAAAGTTAAAGCTTCAGGACTCAGGATTTTGCTGAAAGCTAAGGAGGGGCAAAAGCAGGGGGTGAAATCCAGCAGGTTCTGACAGGTTCTGGAAAACCGGTAGCAGAAATTTTGAGCAGTTCGGAGAACCGGTAGCGGAAATTTTGAGCAGTTTGAAGAACCGGTAGCGGAAATTTTGAGCAGTTCGGAGAACTGGTAGCGGAATTTTTGAGCAGTTCGGAGAACCGGCAAATACCACCTCTGGCTGGCCCCAGAATGGGGTGGGAATGGAGATTTTGCAATATCCTTCCCTCAGGAATGGGGAGGGAATGGGGATTTTGCAGTATCCTTTCCCTGCCACCCCCACCAAGCCACACCATGCCCATCAAGCTACGCCCACAGAACCGGTAGTAAAAAAAAAATTGGGATTTCATCAGTGGGCGAAAGCTCTAGTCCTTAGAAGTATCTGAGTTGAACCCCTGCAGAAGCGACAGGAGACTTAGAACCAGAGAAATAATACCGGGGAAATAATTAGAACAATGAAATAATGATGATTTTCAAGAAATAGTCTTGAAAAGGTGTAATAGACAACAGGATTGTCACTAAGGTGGGAGTTTTATTACCATCAAGCAGATAGGAAGCTTGTTTCATGTTGACTATCTTTTGGTTAACAGAATAGAATTATATTTTCATAACAGAATCTCTCAGAACCCTAAGATTTCTTTGTCTTTGGCTCTTACGGGCTCCCGAGCTCTGGCTGCAATGGCCTCCTCCAACCTTCTGCCAGCGAAAATGGAGCTCACAAAGGCCGCATGCGGCCCTCGCGAGCTCCATTTTCGCTGGCAGAGGGTTGGAGAAGGCCGTTGCAGCCGAAAACGGAGCTCGGGAGCCCATTTTCACTGGCAGAGTGCTCGAGCCACCACAGGCATCCCTGACACGAGTGATGTCAAGCTGGCCACGCCCACCCTGACCACGGCCCCCTGCCTAGTCGGCCTCCTGCACCACCACAAGGGGGGGCGTTTTTGCCCTCCCCGGGCTCCGGAGGCTTTCTTCGAGCCTCTGGGAGGGCAAAAATGGCCTCCCCAACCTCTAAAGCAGGGGTGAAATGCTCCCAGATCAGACCAGATCGCCCAATCTGGTAGCGATCTTGGCTGTTGGTTCGGCGATCCGGTAGCGACGGCGGAGCATAGCTCTGCCCATCCAGACGGGGGTTATTACTTCCTAGTTATAACCAGGAAGCGATGTGTTTTTTACCTTCTGCACATGCGCAGAAGGTTTTGTGCATGCACAGAAGGTCTGTGCGCACTTGTGACATGTGTGCGCGCTTCCGAACCGGTAAGGAAGGTAAGTAGATTTCACCCCTGCTCTGAAGCACATCCAGTTCTCACCTTCCTACCTAATTTCAGTGATTAGCAGTGAATAAATGTTTGCGACTTCTTCACGCAAGCGGGTCAGATGCCAAAACATCACAGCTCGGTGCAAAGCATAGCGGCGCTGCCTTTCTTAGTGACGAATGGTAATGCAAACATAATATTTGCTGATTAACTCTCTTAATAAGAAATGCCCAAAGGGAGAACACTTCAAGATGGCTCACGTACAAAACCACGATGGAATGTGGCGATTCAGGCAAGGCCCGGCCTTGAAAGAGCTGCTGGAGGGAAGGCAGCTATCAATTAGAACAGAACTTGCTGTGTACAGCAGGTATCTGAAGTATGTCCAGGAGCCTCAGAATGCAAGCAGCAGGCTTCAGAGGCAAATTCCTCCACCCACTCTCCTTGGAACAACCAGGTACCTACTTCTTAGTGTGCCTGGTTCAGATCATGGTCTCCAGGTGTAATTCCAGAGCTGCTTTTCACTGTTAACGTCCCTAGTGTTCTAAAGCAGGGGTGGGGCTGCCGGGGGTTCACAGGGGTTCGGGAGAACCTCTAGCTAAGATTCTGTGCATTTCGGAGAACCCCCAAAGCCCACTCCTAGCTGGCCCTGCCCACCCCGCTCCACCCCTCCCCTCCCAGGAGGCTCCATGTGGCCTGTTTTGGATGCAGGGCACACACGAAGGCTTGGGGAGGGCGAAAAACAGGCCTACTGGAAGTTCGGGAAGGCCAGAAATGGGCCTGTTTCCGGCCTCCTCCGGAGGCTGGGGAGGCCATTTTCGCCCTCCTGGACGCTCGAGGAAAGCCTCTGGAGCCTGGGAGGGCAAAAACGCCCCCCACCCCACCATGGTGCAGGAGGCTGACTAGGCCACGCCCACCATGACCACGCCCACCCAGCAACCAGGCAGAGAACCGCTTGCTAAAATTTTTGAAGCCCCCCCCCTCCCTGGTTAAGTAGCAGCTTGTAGAGTGAGGTCTTAGTTCATCTCCAAAAGCTAAGCAAGATCAGATATGGTTAGAGTAGGGGTGTCAAACTCAATTTCATTGAGGGCCACATCAGGGTTGTCTTTGACCTTGGGGGGAGGCAGGAGGCCGTGGTCAGGGTGGGCGTGGCCAGCTTGACATCATTCATGTCAGGGATGCCTGCGGTGGCCCCAAGCGCTCTTCCAGTGAAAACGGGCTCTCGAGCTCGGTTTTCGGCTGCAATGGCATCCTCCAACCCTCTGCCAGCGAAAACGGAGCTCGCGAGGGCCGAGGTGGACAAAACCCAGATTGTTTGGGGCAATAGGCTGACTCTGCAATCTGCTTAGAGAGGCTGTAAATCACTGTGAAACAGTATAAAAGTCTAAGTACTATTGCTGTGCAGGTATGAAAAACTGGAGATTGCACTGGTTTTGTGTTTTGTCATTTTTATATCACTGTGGTTGAAAGCAGATAGGTATGGAGGAGGAGGAGGAGGAGGAGGAGGAGGAGGAGGAGGAGGAGGAGGAGTGTTGTGGTCCACCAGCAGCCTGCGGAGCTGGCAGCAGAGTCGGACAGTGAGGAGTTTGGGAAAGGCCCGGACAGGGGCTCTGCGTCGGAAACAGAAACGGTGCCAGGGCCATCTGGGAGTGATGTGCAGACTCTGGAGCCTCCAGAGTCAGATAGCAGAGAGGCAGAGGAACAGGAGGAGCCTGTTCCTGGTGCATGCATGCGCAGAGCTGTCAGAAGGAAAGAGCAGCTAAAGCAAAAGGGACAACTTGGGAGTAAGGCCAGAAGAGGATTGGCCCCTCCTATAAGGCTTAAAAGAACAGCAAAGGCTCTTGGGCTCTTTGTAGGAAAGCAACATTACTAAATCTGCTTCCAGTCGGCGTTTCTTGTTTCTGAACTTCGTGGGGCTTTGACAAGAAAGACCTTTGGCAGGGTGCCAAAGAAGATAAAGGTTTGTG